CGGCGTTTCATTACATCTGTATCTTTGGGGTAAATCCCTAACAGTGCAATTGCTGGGTCATAGGGCAGGTCTATTTTTAACTCAGAGGAACCTCCACACAGTTTTCCAGAGTGGCTGCACCAGTTCACATTCCCACCAACAGTGTAAGAGGGTTCCCTTTTCTCCGCATCCTATCCAACATTTGTGGTTTCCTGCCTTGTTAATGTTCCCCATTCTCACTGGTGTGAGGTGGTATCTCATTGTGGTTTTGATTTGTATTTCCCTGATGGCAAGTGATGCAGAGCATTTTCTCATGTGCTTGTTGGCCATGTCTATGTATTCCTCTGTGAGATTTCTCTTCATGTCTTTTGCCCATTTCATGATTGGATTGTTTGTTTCTTTGGTGTTGAGTTTAATAAGTTCTTTATAGATCTTGGAAACTAGCCCTTTATCTGATACGTCATTTGCAAATATGTTTTCCCATTCTGAAGGTTGTCTTTTACTTTGACTGTATCCTTTGCTGTGCAAAAGCTTCTTATCTTGATGAAGTCCCAATAGTTCATTTTTGCTTTTGTTTCTTTTGCCTTCGTGGATGTATCTTGCAAGAAGTTACTGTGGCCGAGTTCAAAAAGGGTGTTGCCTGTGTTCTCCTCTAGGATTTTGAAGGAATCTTGTCTCACATTTAGATCTTTCATCCATTTTGAGTTTATCTTTGTGTATGGTGCAAGAGAGTGGTCTAGTTTCATTCTTCTGCATGTGGATGTCCAATTTTCCCAGCACCATTTATTGAAGAGACTGTCTTTCTTCAAGTGGATAGTCTTTCCTCCTTTGTCAAATATTAGTTGACCATAAAGTTGAGGGTCCACTTCTGGATTCTCTCTTCTATTCCATTGATCTATGTGTCTGTTTTTGTGCCAGTACCACACTGTCTTGATGACCACAGCTTTGTAGTACAACCTGAAATGTGGCATTGCATCACTTGCATCTTATAGTGGATTGCTGTCAGGCCTTCCCAACATTATAATGTGGTTGGTCTGTCAAAACCCAGCTCTCAATTGGTGATTCCAGAAGCATGACCACTTGCTATCCCATGGTATATATACTCTGCATCTACCAAGGCCCATTAGCACACCAGGAGTTTTTTTTAAAGGTGTATAACTCTCCAGTGAAGATGGTTTGTCCTTGTCTCTCATAAACCCACAACCTTGTATGATTCTTCCAATGAATGCAACATAAATTCTGCTCGGCATATTTCCCCACTACTAAAGGCTTAATCTTTAATATTCCTTACACTTTCACTATAAGAAATTGGAGGATCTATGCAAACTACCAAGTAGGCCTTCAGGCTTTTCAATAGCCTACTTATTAATCATGCTCAGCTTTTTATCACATTTTTCTAGAGTGTTAATAGCACTTAGCAATAGGCAACTATATTAGTTTTCTCTTGCTGCATAACAAATTACCACAACTTTTTTTACTTAAAACATCACACATTTATTATCTCAGTTTCTATGGGTCAGCAGTCTGGACACAGCTTAGCTGGGCTCTCTGCTTAAAGTCTCATAAGGCTACAATCGAGTCATCAGCCAGGCTGCATTCTTTCCTGGAAATTCAAGTCCTCCTCCAAGCACCAGAATTCACTTCCTGCTGCTATAGACTGAGGTCCTCATGTCCTGAAAGCTACCTACAGTTCCCTTCCATGTGGCCCTCTCCACAAGCAGTTCATGTCATAACAACTTCCTTCTTAAAAGCCAGCAGGAGAGTATTTTGCTTTAGCCTGCAAAGATGGAGTCTTATATGATGTAGCATAATTATGGTAGTGGCATCTCATTACCTTTGTCATATAACACAACCAACTCAAAGGAGTAACAGTTACACTATATTTTTCATATTATATTGGTTAGAATCAAGTAAATGGTTCTTTCTGTACTCAAAGAGAGAGAATTACACAAAGGCTTTGACAGCAAGAGGTGGAAATTATCTTAAGCACCATACCAGGGTCTGTTTTCCCCACCATGTACATTAGGGTTCTCCAAAGAAACAGAAGCAACAGAATGTGTATATAGAGAGAAGGTTTAGGGACGCTTGGGTGGCTTAGCAGTTAAGCATCTGTCTTTGGCTCAGGGTGTGATCCTGGCTGGGGTCTAGGGATTAGGTCCCTGTGAGAAACCTACTTCTCCCTCTTCCTGTGTCTCTACCTCTCTCTCTCTTTCTCTCTCTCTCTCTCTCAAATAAATACATCTTTAAAAAAAAGATTAGAGAGAAGTTTTAATTTTAAGGAAGTGGCTCACAAATTGTAGAGATACGGTAAATCCAAAATCTAAAGGGTAAGCCAGCTGGAAGCTCATGGTAGAGTTGCAATTCAAGTCCAAAGGTAGTCTGCTAACACCATTCCTTTTTGCTCAAAGAGGTCATTCTTTGTTCTTAAGGCCTACATTATGGGGTAATCTGCTTTACTTAAAGTCTACCAATTTAATTGTTAATATCTTCCAAAAAGCACATTCACAGAAACATCCAAAATAACGTTTCACCAAATATCTGGGCATCATGGCCCAGCCAACTGACATATAAAATTAAACACTACATTATCCCATTCCATTGTCCTTATAGGTATTATTTACATCACATTTCTCAAACATGCCAGGTCCCTAAAATTAATACATGTCACCAGCTGGTTTATGTCCCTCTCTGGTAACATACCAGACCAATTCACCAGTATTGAAAGCTTTAACAATTAGGGGAAGCCCTAATTGTACGCCTGGGTGGCTCAGTGTTTTAGTGCTGCCTTCAGCCCAGGGAGTGATCCTGGGGACCCGGGATCAAATCCCACATCAGGCTCCCTGCATGGAGCCTGCTTCTCCCTCTGCCTGTGTCTCTGCCTCTCTCTCTCTCTCTCTCTCTCTCTCTCTCTCTCATAAATAAATAAATAAATAAATAAATAAATAAATAAATAAAATCTTTTTAAAAAAAACAGAAAGCTTTAACAATTAGTCTATGTAGTAGACAACACATTCCAAAGATGAACACATTAATATATACTATCCCACAGAGGGAAAGATTCATGCTCCTTGGAAAAATATATATATTTTGGACATCCAAATTGTGAATTTGGCTTGGGAAGTTAAGTTGGCATAGTAGTAGGTGAACCTTATACTTGCTTCATCACTTGAAAACAGCTAGATAAATAACAAATCATTCTGAACACTTGGGATATCGATCTCAGGACTGAGAGAGCAAAATGTACAACTAGTGGGAGAAAACAGGCCACATCGTAGAAGGTAGGAGGTGCTAAGATGTGATTTGGAGGGAAGAAAATAATCACTAGAGCTACAGAGGGGAGGGAGCCCTGATCATGAAGAGAAAGAGAGGGAGAGGAAACAGAGAGAGAGATAAGGGCCCAGGGCATTGCACAAGAAAAACATTTCCTCAAAACTATTGACAGGGAAAATGAGAGGATAACCATAGCAAGATTTTACAAGCACTGGGGTGGAACCTGGTGAGCATAGAGGTTACTCTGTAGAGAAGTAGGGTCAAGGCCTGGGAAGAGACAGTGTGGTCTGAGGATTCCATGGATCTCACTAGAAGAGATAGGACCCCTTCTTGGAGTACATTTGGGAGAGGTAGTTTTGGCTTTCAGAGCAAACAAGCCAATGGGTTCCATTACCCTGTGCTGTGCATTAGCATAGGAGCAGAGATACCTGCTGATGGCACTAACCTGGACACTAATGTTTTGCTGCACTTTATCATAAATTCCAAGCCCTTGTGCATTCTCAAAACTGCCCTTCTGGGACAAATTGGCACTAGCCAAAGCCCAGCAACACCCTCCCTCAGAGGATCAGTGCCAGGTCCCTAAAATTTGGAGTTTTGAAACCCAGCCAGCATGCCTGAGATAAATAAAACACAGGAGCACTGCACCACCAGGTAGGCAGATGGCTCAGACACAGAGAGGGTGAAGGCAGGGAACTGAGAGAAGCTTGGAACAAATGAGTACAGATTTTTTCACTCTTCTGTGAAGGCTTCATGAACAGCACTGGGCATAGATTCCCCTCTCTGGGAATGAGAGATTTGGTCATTCCCCACCCCCCACCCCAGCAATTAGCACAGATAGACTCTGCAGAGGACCTACCTACAGGAAACAGCAGCCAAAACACATCAACAGAGTGCACACGTCATACACCAGACACACTCTCTGAAGCATCAGGCTTTGGACAGTATATGACCTCTTTTTTTAAGATTTTATTTATTCATGACAGACACACAGAGAGGGAGAGACACAGGCAGAGGGAGAGGGAGAGAAGCGGGCTCCATGGAGGGAGCCTGAGGTGGGACTCGATCCCGGGTCTCCAGGATCATACCCCGGCCAAAGGTGGCACCAAACCGCTGGGCCACTGGGGTTGCCCTGATCTCTTATTAATATAGCCATTACTCTCAGGAGCAGGAATAAAACAGACTTTCCTAACATTTAGAAAACAGAAACCTAGATAAAAATGTCATAATAGAAGAATTCATCCAAAAGAAAGAACAAGAAGAGGTCACAGTCAGGGATATAATTGAAACAGATATAAGTCATATGCCTGAATTTGAACTTAAAACAACAATCATAAGGATAGGAGGAGCCGGGCTAGGGAGAGAGCCTCCAGGGACAGGAAAGCATTCCTGGAGAAGCAGGAACTTTGAAAATCTGCACTGGATTCTTCCCGGATGGAAAGGTGCTTAGTACGGAAAACAGGTAGAACCACAGGAGGAGCAGTGGACCCTCCAGGTTGCCAGGGACCCTAACAGAGGAAGGGCACCCGGGGGAGAGTGCACCACAGACTGTGAGCCAAGCTCAGTAAAGGGCTGGAGCATGCCCAACAGGGCCCTGGGGAGAAGCCAGTGGGTCAGGGGAAGCTCTGGGTGGAGGGGACTACGCCCTATGCCTTCGGGAGCTGTGGCCCCAGGAGGGTGATTCCAGCAGCACAGGCCCCAGATCCCAGGCCACCAGGGGACACAGCCGCTGACCCTGTGCTCCCCCAGGACAGATGGACTGGGGAAGGCCCAGGACAGCGAGGACGCTCCTGCTGCCAGGAGCCCCCAAGCTGTACAGGTAAGCACATCCACCCCCAGAGCATCCAGGTCAGTGCGGACTGAGAGCTGTGGAGGTTACTGGGGGAATGGACACCAGGGCTGGAGAGCTAACTGCCAGCAGTGTTGTTAGTCCTCCTGGTGTCACCCTGTGCCTGGGACTGACAGGGGCCTCCAGAGAACAGGGGCCAGGGAGTAAACAGCTCCCACTAAGCTGTGCACACTCCTGAGAATAAGCACAGACACCCTCCCCAGAAGACCAGCTGGAAGGATAGGGGAAGAGCAAGTTCTTGGCCCAGCAGCGCTGGAGAGCTCCATATATAAAACCAGAAGAACCCGTCCTTGTTTTTGTTTGTTTTCCCCTCCCTTTTTTGTCCTTTCCTTCCTTTTTCTAGTACAACTTGCTTTTAACCTATCTGCACTGAGCAAAATGACTAGAAGGAAGAACTCACCACAAAAGAAAGAATCAGAAACAGTTCTCTCTCCCACAGAGTCACAGAATTTGGATTACAATTCAATGTCAGAAAGCAAATCCCGAAGCACAATTATAAAGCTACCGGTGGCTCTAGAAAAAGCATAAAGGATTCAAGACAATTCATGACTGCAGATTTTAGATCTAATCAGGCCCAAAATAAAAATCAATTAAATGAATTTCACTTCAAACTGGAAGTCCTAATGATGAGGGTTCACAAGGTAGAAGAATGAATAAGTGACATATAAGACAAGTTGATGGCAAGGAAGGAAGCTGAGGAAAAAAGAGAAAACAATTAAAAGATCATGAAGAAAGGTTAGGGGAAATAAATGACAGCATCAGAAGGAAAAAAATCTACGTTTAATTGGGATTCCAGAGGCCATGAAAGGGACAGAGGACCAGAAAGTATATTTGAACAAATCATCACTGAGAACTTCCCTAACCTTGGAAGGGAAACAGGTATTCAGATCCAGGAGATAGAGAGGTCCCCCTCTAAAATCAATAAAAACCGTTCATCACCCTGACATTTAATACTGAAACTTGCAAATTCCAAAGATAAAGAGAAGATCCTTAAAGCAGCAGGACGCAAGAAATCCCTAACCTTTAAGGGGAGAAGTATTAGGTTAATAGCAGACCTCAGCAGAGACCGCGCAGGCCAGAAAGAGCTGGCAGGATATATTCAGGGTCCTAAATGAGAATAACATGCAGTCAAGAATACTTTATCCAGCAAGGCTCTCATTCAGAATAAAAGGAGAGATACAGAGCTTCCAAGATAGGCAGAAACTGAAAGAATATGTGACCACCAAACCAGGTCTCCAAGAAATATTTTTTTTATTTATTTTTTATTTATTTATTTATGATAGTCACAGAGGGAGAGAGAGAGAGAGGCGCAGAGACATAGGCAGAGGGAGAAGCAGGCTCCATGCACTGGGAGCCTGATGTGGGATTCGATCCTGGGTCTCCAGGATCGCGCCCTGGGCCAAAGGCAGGCGCCAAACTGCTGTGCCACCCAGGGATCCCTCGGATTAGCAATCTTGGGCACAACATTTGGGGGCTCGTCCGGGATCCGAGAGATCTCCAGGACCCTATCCGGAGGGTTTCATGCGTGGTGCGTGCACTCAACTTTTTCCACCTTTTGCGCACATTTTTTCTGAGAGCTCTAACCTGTACTTTACCTGTAGGAATTCCAATCTGTATTGGGTCGGCATTGGCTTAGGCCGACGCGCTGGCGGGCCGTCCACCGGGGGTCTTGAGGAGATGTCCCTTGCTCCTGCCTGGAGGACTGAGGTCCTCATCTGGAAGGAGGACGGGGTCCTCATCTGTAAGGAAGGTCGGCTGCCAGCCTTTCCGGTTACCTTCTGTTTCCTCTCCGCAGCCGCGCTGGAACATTTGTCTGTGTTATTGTGTTCTTGTTACCTGTTTTGCTGCGCTTGTCTGTATTACTGTGTCTTTTACTGTCATAACTGTCTACATAAGGAGAGGGGACAGCAGGTGATGGCGGCGGCGGCGGCTCTTCTAGGCTGGTTGTTCACCGCGCTGTGCCTGGACATCGCCGCAGGGGAGGCCGCGTGGGGCCCGTGGGTGCTGGGCGTCTGTCGGGAGGAAAACGGAGACAAGGACACGGGGTGGGCGCGCGGAGCAGAGGCGCGGGCTGCCCCGGAGGCCACCTTCCTCCTGCGCCTCTTCGGCTTAGGCTTGGCCAACAGCTCCTGGTCCTGGGTGACCCCCGAGGGGGCGGGCTGCCCGAGGGCCTGCTGGCCGCGACGCCCGGGAAGGCAGCGCCTGGAGCCCACGCGGCGCTGGGTCGGCAGCGCCCTGGGCGCGCTGTTGCTGCTGCTCAGCCTGGCGCAGGTGGTGCTGGCGGTGCTGCTGTACTGCGCAGTGGACCAGCGCACTGTGCCTCCGTGCTGGGCAGCGCGGGGCTCGTGTTCCTCGTGGGCGAGGTGGTGCCGGCCGCTGTGAGCAGGCGCTGGGTGCTGGCGCTGGCCCCGCGCGCGCTGCTGCTCAGCCGCCTGGCCGTGCTGCTGACCCTGCTGGTGGCGCTGCCCGCGGGCCAGCTGCTGGAGCTGGCAGCGCGGCCCGGGCAGCTTCACAAGCGCGTGCTGGAGCTGGCCCGCGGTGGCAATGCCTACAGCGACCTCAGCAAGGGAGTGCTGCGCTGTCGGACCGTGGAGGATGTGCTCTCGCTGCTCGAGGACTGCTTCATGCTGGACTTCGGCGTCCTAGCCAACATCATGCAGAGCAGCCACACATGCATCCCGGTGTACGAGGAGGAGCGCTCCAACATCGTGGACATGCAGAACCTCAAGGATTTAGCCTTCGTGGATCCCGAAGACTGCACGCTGCTCAGCACCATCACCCGCTTTTACAACCATCCGCTCCACTTCGTCTTCAACAACACCAAGCTGGACGCCGTCCTGGAGGAGTTCAAATGAGGGAAGTCTCACCTGGCCATCGTGGAGAAGGTGAACAACGAGGGTGAAGGTGACCCCTCCTACAAGGTGCTGGGCCTCGTCACCCTGGAGGACGTTATTGAGGAGATCATCAAGTCTGAGATCCTGGATGACTCTGAGGACTACCGAAATGCCACCATCAGGAAGAAGCCTGCTCCTCTGAGTGCCCCTCTCCTGCAAAAAGAGGAATTCTCCTTCAAGGTGTCTGACAATGAATATAAAGTGAAAATCTCACTTCAGCTGCTCTTGGCCACCCAGCACTTCCCGACTCGAGAGGTGGATGTATTCAGCCCCCTGTGGATCTCCAAGAAGGTCCTGCTGCACCTGCTGAAGCATCCCAGCATCAACCAGGAAGTGAGGTTTGACAAGAGCAACCGTCTGGCTGCACACATTACCTGTACCAGCGCAGCCAGCCAGTGGATCATTTCATTCTCATCCTGCAGGGCAGGTTTGAGGTGGAGATCGGGAAAGAGGGCCTGAAGTTTGAGAATGGAGCCTTCACCTACTACGGAGTGTCCGCCCTGACAGCGCCATCCTCCGTTCACCAGTCCCCAGTGTCCTCGCTCCAGTCCGTCCACCACGACCTGGAGCCAGAGCCAGCCGATGGTGCTCGCTTGTCTGCATACTGTCCTGACTACACCGTGAGGGCCCTCTCCGACTTGCAGCTCATCAAGGTCACGCAGCTGCAGTACCTCAATGCACTCCTGGCCACTCAAGCCCATACCCAGTTAGGGGAGCAAGAGGGCGCCAGGGGATGGTTGGTGTGGGCTTTCTACTTTGTCTTTTTCTCCTTATGCCCCCTTAGTGAGGGGTGGGAGCTCTGGTGGCAACTCCAGGGTGGGGAGACAAGCCCCGGAGTCGGAAAAGCTGGGTTTGCTTCCGGGCCTAGCCACCACCTGGCCGAGTGACCTTAGGCAAATCACTCTGTAATTTGTCTGTGCCTCAGTTTCCTCCTCTGCCTATCAATTTTTGTGAAATATAAAGTGTCAGTCTGTATATAAGGGATGATTATTGTTTGTAAAGGGGGTTTCTTTGAGTTGTATAAGTTAGCAATTGCCCAGTTCTTGGATTTTGAACCAGGGAACCTTAAATTGAAGTTGGAGATCCCCCTAAATTCCTTGAAAAAATAATGGGAGTGTGCATTTCATTTCTTCAGAGACATGGTAAAATTGGACCAGGGGATTTTTAGTTACCAACACTGAAGAAACCCTAAGGTTTAAGAACAGACTCTCCATAACCCATGAGCAGGTGTGGCCTAAGCTGAGGGCCCTCTATGAGACTGGGCCACCCCCAGACCCCCATCGATATCGGCCAGGTGACTATACGAGCGGAGATACCAAAACCAGACACTTCAACCTCGCTGGAAGGGACCCTACATCGTGATCCTGACCACTCCCACCACTCTCAAGGTTGACGGGATTACTCCCTGGGTCCACTATACCCACGTCCAGCCAGCTGACCCACATGCTGTTCTCAAGGACTTTGTTCCAGAATGGAAAAGTCAACTGGACAAGGACAATCCCCTAAAGCTAAAACTGTGCCGTTCTCACTTATTTCCCACCTCCAAGACTCCTTAGTCTGAGGTTGTCCTTCAAAATAGAAGGGGAGGTGGAGGGGCAAGATGGCGGAAGAGTAGGGTCCCGAAGTCACCCGTCCCCACCAAATTACCTAGATAACCTTCAACTCATCCTGAAAATCTACGAATTCGGCCTGAGATTTAAAGAGAGAATAGCTGGAATGCTACAGTGAGAAGAGTTCCCGCTTCTATCAAGGTAGGAAGACGGGGAAAAAAAGAAATAAAGAAACAAAAGGCCTCCAAGGGGGAGGGGCCCTGCGAGGAGCCGGGCTGAGGCCGGGGCGAGTGTCCCCAGGACAGGAGAGCCCCTTCCCGGAGAAGCAGGAGCTGCACCAATCTTCCCGGTGGAAAGGCACTCGCAGGGCGTTAGAGCAGGACCCCAGGAGGGGCGGGGATACCCTCAGGCTCCCTTGGACACTAACAGACACCTACGCCCCGGGGAGAGTGCACCGTGCTCCCTAAAGGGCTGCAGCGCCCACGGCTGGACCCGGGAGGGGCTCAGGGGGAGACTCCATGGAGGGAGCTGCGCGGCGGGAGCACGAATCCAACAGCGCAGGCCTGGGAGCACAGGACACAGGGGACACAGCCCAGAATCTGGCCTCCGCCCGGGACAGGCAGAGGCCGGGAGGGCCCAGGACAGCAAGGATGCTCCTGCCCGGAGCTGAGCAGATCAGCGGCCCCGCCCCTGGAGCATCCAGGCCCTGCAGATGGAGAGCTCAGTAGTTACTGCGGGAGCTGAATCCAGGGCTCCAGAGCTGGCCACTGCCACTGTGGTTGTTCCTCCTGGGATCTCACCGGGAAAACAACCCCCACTGAGCCCTGCACCAGGCAGGGGGCAGAGCAGCTCCCCCAAGTGCTAACACCTGAAAATCAGCACAAGGGGCCCCTCCCCCAGAAGACCAGCTAGACGGAAAGTTCCAGAGGAAGTCAAGGGACTTAAAGTATACAGAATCAGAAGATACCCCCCCCCGTGTTTTTATTTTTTCTTCTTTTTTTCTTTTTGATTTCTGTTTGCTTCCCCCACCCTTTTTTCCTTTCTTTCTTTTTCTTTCTCTTTTTCTTCTCTTTTTTCTTTTTTCTTCCTTTTTCTTTATCTCTTTTTTTGTTTGAAATACTTCTTTCTTTATTTTTTTAAATAAATTTATTTTTTATTGGTGTTCAATTTACCAACATACAGAATAACACCCAGTGCTCATCCCATCAGGTACCCCCCTCAGCGCCCGTCACACATTCACCCCCACCCCCTACCACCCTCCCCTTCCACCACCCCTAGTTTGTTTCCCAGAGTTAGGAGTCTTTTTTTTTTTTTTATGATAGTCACAGAGAGAGAGAGAGAGAGGCAGAGACAAAGGCAGAGGGAGAAGCAGGCTCCATGCACCGGGAGCCCGACCTGGGACTCGATCCCGGGTCTCCAGGATCGCGCCCTGGGCCAAAGGCAGGCGCCAAACCGCTGCGCCACCCAGGGATCCCCGAGTTAGGAGTCTTTATATTCTGTCTCCCTTTCTGATATTTCCCACACATTTCATCTCCCTTCCCTTATATTCCCTTTCACTATTATTCATATTCCCCAAATGAATGAGAACATACACTGTTTGTCCTTCTCCGATTGACTTACTTCACTCAGCATAATACCCTCCAGTTCCATCCACGTTGAAGCAAATGGTGGGTATTTGTTGTTTCTAATGGCTGAGTAATATTCCACTGTATACATAAACCACATCTTCTTTATCCATTCATCTTTCGATGGACACCGAGGCTCCTTCCACAGTGTGGCTATTGTGGACATTGCTGCTAGAAACATCGGGGTGCAGGTGTCCCAGTGTTTCATTGCATCTGAATCTTTGGGGTAAATCCCCAACAGTTTGGAAGGACCTCAAACACATGGAGGTTAAGGACCATCCTGCTAAAAGATGAAAGGGTCAACCAGAAAATTAAGGAAGAATTTAAAAGATTCATGGAAACTAATGAGAATGAAGATACAACCGCTCAAAATCTTTGGGATGCAGCAAAAGCAGTCCTCAGGGGGAAATACATCGCAATACAAGCATCCATTCAAAAACTGGAAAGAGCTCAAATACAAAAGCTAACCTTACACATAAAGGAGCTAGAGAAAAAACAGCAGATAGATCCTACACCCAGCAGAAGAAGAGAGTTAATTAAGATTCGAGCAGAACTCAACACAATCGAGACCAGAAGAACTGTGGAACAGATCAACAAAACCAGGAGTTGGTTCTTTGAAAGAATTAATAAGATAGATAAACTATTAGCCAGCCTTATTAAAAGGAAGAGAGAGAAGACTCAAAGTAATGAATCATGAATGAGAAAGGTGAGATCACTACCAACACCAAGGAAATACAAACGATTTTAAAAACATATTATGAACAGCTATACACCAACAAATTAGGCAATCTAGAAGAAACGGATGCATTCCTGGAAAGCCACAAACTACCAAAACTGGAACAGGAAGAAATAGAAAACCTGAACAGGCCAATAACCAGGGGAAATTGAAGCAGTCGTCAAAAAACTCCCAAGACACAAAAGTCCAGGGCCAGATGGCTTCCCAGGGGGATTCTATCAAACATTTAAAGAAGAAACCATACCGATTCTACTAAAGCTGTTTGGAAAGATAGAAAGAGATGGGGTACTTCCAAATTCATTCTATGAGGCCAGCATCACCTTAATTCCAAAACCAGACAAAGACCCCACCAAAAAGGAGAATTACAGACCAATATCCCTGATGAGCATGGATGCAAAAATTCTCAACAAGATACTAGCCAATAGGATCCAACAACACATTAAGAAAATTTTTCACCATGACCATGTAGGATTTATTCCCGGGACACAAGGCTGGTTCAACACTCGTAAACAAACAATGTGATTCATCATATGAGCAAGAGACCAAGAACCATATGATCCTCTCATTAGACGCAGAGAAAGCATTTGACAAAATACAGCATCCATTCCTGATCAAAACTCTTGAGAGTGTAGGGATACAGGGAACATTCCTCAACATCTTAAAAGCCATCTATGAAAAGCCCACAGAAAATATCATTCTCAATGGGGAAGCACTGGGAGCCTTACCCCTAAGATCAGGAACAAGACAGGGATGTCCACTCTCACCACTGCTACTCAACATAGTAGTACTGGAAGTCCTAGCCTCAGCAATCAGACAACAAAAAAATCTGGTTTTTGGAATTAAGGTGATGCTGGCCTCATAGAATGAATTTGGAAGTACCCCATCTCTTTCTATCTTTCCAAACAGCTTTAGTAGAATCGGTATGGTTTCTTCTTTAAATGTTTGATAGAATCCCCCTGGGAAGCCATCTGGCCCTGGACTTTTGTGTCTTGGGAGTTTTTTGACGACTGCTTCAATTTCCTCCCTGGTTATTGGGAGGAAATTGCATTCAAATGGGCAAAGAAGTCAAACTCTCCCTCGTCACTGATGACATGATACTCTACATAGAAACCCAAAAGCCTCCACCCCAAGATTGCTAGAACTCATACAGCAGTTTGGTAGCATGGCAGGATACAAAATCAATGCCCCCCTCCAAAAAAAAAGAAAGAAAAAAGAAAAAGAAAATCAATGCCCAGAAATCAGTGGCATTTCTATACACGAACAATGAGACTGAAGAAAGAGAAATTAAGGGGTCAATCCCATTTACAATTGCACCCAAAAGCATAAGATACCTAGAAATAAACCTAACCAAAGAGGTAAAGAATCTATACCCTAAAAACTATAGAACACTTCTGAAAGAAATTGAGAAAGACACAGAGATGGAAAAATATTCCATGCTCATGGATTGGAAGAATTAATATTGTGAAAAAGTCAATGTTACCCATGGCAATTTACACATTTAATGCAATCCCTATCAAAATACCATGGACTTTCTTCAGAGAGTTAGAACAAATTATTTTAAGATTTGTGTGGAATCAGAAAAATTCTCGAATAGCCAGGGGGATTTTAAAGAAGAAAACCATAGCTAGGGGCATCACAATGCCAGATTTCAGGTTGTACTACAAAGCTGTGGTCATCAAGACAGTGTGGTACTGGCACAAAAACAGACACATAACAATAGCCAAACTGTGGAAGGAGCCTCGGTGTCCATCGAAAGATGAATGGATAAAGAAGATGTGGTTTATGTATACAATGGAATATTACTCAGCCATTAGAAATGACAAATACCCACCATTTGCTTCAACGTGGATGGAACTGGAGGGTATTATGCTGAGTGAAGTAAGTCAATCGGAGAAGGACAAACAGTGTATGGTCTCATTCATTTGGGGAATATGAATAATAGTGAAAGGGAATAAAGGGGAAAGGAGAAAAAATAA